CAATAACTCTTAGAGCTTGTGGTTGTTTTTCTTGGCTAAGAATCATATAAAAATTATGATTTTTATCTACCTGATTCAGTACATGATGCGAAGTGGATGACAAAAGTTACTTATATAATTATAAATCTATTGATAAAAATATATCTACTAATTCTGTAGAAAAATTTATTCGCCATCTGTGGTACTTAACACCAGAGTCAGCAGCTCTATTATTTTTTGATAAAAATATTTTGATCGAAGAGAAACAAAAAATGATCGATGCTAGAAAGTCAGACCAAAGTAAATTGTTACATGACAAACGCATTTTTGCAGCTAAAAAAACTATGAATAACATGGTGAAATCAACTATTTGTAACTTTTTATTTAAAGATTCATAACATTTGTTCAAATGGTTTGACATCAATTCAACTTTTTTACTAAAAGATCTGTAAAAATGGTGTAAAGATACAATAAAGCCTTTAAAATTATTGAAAACTCAAAAGTTGTGAATAATGTTGCAGAGATAGGAGTCAAATTAATGTCCAATTTTAATGCTATATTGACGACAGATGAGCAGCAATGACAGTATCCAACGCTTACAATTAAAGATTGTTATAGTCTGTTTTTGAGCTCTAACAGAGCTTCTATAATGAGTGTATGAAATGTACATAAAATATTCTTTCTCAGACTATAACACGTTATACTCAAAAAATTATTTGATAAAATGGTAAGATAAAATAATTTAAAAATAAAATCAATGATTATTTATTAATACTTTAAACACCACTTATATTTACCTTACTCCAAAATATGAAGAAAAAGTTACTATAGCAAAAAAGTGTTTTAAGACTGAATACGAACACCTTTTTATAAAATCCTCAGAACATAATTTTTTTTTAATAGTTACTGTAAATAAAGCAATCATTATTCTGGCTTGAGAACCATTACGAACTTTAACTGGACATCAAATTGTAGGTTTTTAATTCTTCTTTTAAATAATGGTACTTGAGCCACTCCTTAAACCCTGGTCCATCGCCATTAAGAATTCCTTCTGTCTTGGTCTGTCTTTTTTTTAGATTATTTTGGCGTTTATCGCAGTTATTCGCTATAACTCTTTACGCATGAAAGAAGACCAAAACTATTGACTCTATCGGATTCAGAAGAAAAAAGAACATGGAAATACTCAATTTTAGTCATAAGATTCAATCATTTTCACAGTGTTTCTATGTAATAAACAATTTTAGTGGTATTTTACAAGTAAATCCCACAAGAAACTTCGGTGGTACTTGATAAAGAGTTCGGATAGCTAAACTTACTGATTCCACATCCGTTACCGGGTACATAGATAATGAAAAAAAATCTTTCAAATTAACGCTCACCCTAGTATACATACATTTTTACGTTATGTAGTTATTAATAAACTTGCACAGAGTGTGACAATTATAGTAAGGGTTATCTCTTGACGTGCGCATAGAGGTAGAAACACATTAGTGTGTATTTGTATAAATACAAGCACTGATTGTCTAATGCTGTGGAGGTTTATTGACAACTGCATAATACAAGGATATACGTTCGTACATACTTATAGTATAAACAAATAAATAAAAAACTTCTTAAAAAACATTTTTAAGGACATTTTGCCCTTTCGTGCCAATGAATTGATAGCACCTTGCTTACAGCAATTACAAAGTTACCTTACGATTACCATGTGATTATTTTGAGGTTATCAAGCAATTAATGCTTGCTAATTACATAAAAAATAGGACAAATTACTCACGTGATAATTGAGTAAGAATTGCATGGCTTTAGCTGATTTATTTAGCAAAAACAGTATTTAATAATGTATTGGTCTACAATACTATTTAAAAAAAAGCGTAATATGGCCGATCAGTAATAAAAACTGTGCCCGATATCATTTTGTTTACATCATTACTCTTGTCAACCATAAATCTAGTGATGGATTTTACAACCACTTCTTTTCTACGCTTCTGAGTATTTTTATTCTTCATATATTAAAGTGGGTATCAAATACGAGCCAAGAAACATTGTGCTTCCCACTTACTCCTAACTAATCTATAACTACTTACTGTACGAGTAGTTGCATATTATTCTCGGTCCATGCGATATTAAAATTATATAAACACCACGAAGAGAAGTTAAAAAATACTCAGATATTATGGGCATGATCATTATACGTGAAGCCCAGTTTTAACAATAGGATTCGTTTAATTAAAGACAATAAAGTAATGAGCAAATGCGGAATATTGACATTTATATTGAAAATTATATCTATTGTTTGGTATTGTATATAATGTGGTGAATTATATTTATGGATTGTTATTGAGGACAAAAGTTTCCGTACTTCATTGTTGACAAATCAGTATACTTATTCTAATGAGAATAATTCAAGAAGTCATTACTACAATAACAATCCTGATTATGACAGCTGCACGTAGGTTTCACAGTAAGCTGCATAATGAACGCGTTGAAATGGTATGCAACAAGATGAAACTACTCAACGACAAACAGTTCAAACAGCGCTTACAAACTTTTGAGACGCACCTGAGCTGTAATACTAAACGCCCAATACGGAACTATCTGAGCTCAATAAAGTAAAAAAGAGTCGCCTGAAATGTTAACAGAAGAGGCCTCTCTCTCACTTTTACGGTCTTAAGTTGTTATATGTTACACATTGCGTACTCCATGTAACGGTGGCTTGGAGCACTCTTCTTTATTTAAGCCACACCCATATAAGAGCGTGTGAACGGCATCGAGGCGCTTAGGCCCATTCATCTACGTTAGGATGCATAAAAATAGGTGGTATAGTGTAGCAATAAACTTACTTATGTTACGTATCTTTAAGTAAATGTGATTCTATTTTGACATTTTCCCAGAGTCACCTGAATGAAAACATTCCATATTGTCGTCCCTTGATCGATTAGAGATAGTGTTAGATCTGCAGGGCCATCATCAATAATAAGCAATGTTGCCATTCAGGGCAAGTTCCGAGTGAAAATCACATTTACTCAGGTGTACAAGCTGAAAATTATTGTCAACACATCTATTTTTTGCTACAAGCTGAAATAAGTTACTGAATGCAATACATGGTCAATATAGTATCATAGCGTACTTCATCTAACTATTAGCACTAACTAACTTATATGCATACACTACATCATGTATAAGTAAAGCTTTATTAGAATATCATAGTCCGTATAGTCTTTTGTAATCAATAATGTAGATCAAAACATAATTGCATACTATTTTCCGTTCCAATTAGTAAACCAAAATCGAACGATTCTAAAGTGATTATTTCGTGAGAAATCTGTCTAATTTCTCACAAAAGTCTTACGTACTAATTGCGTAATAATCGCAGGATACTTATATGGTAATTTTAGATCCATCCTGTCAATCACAACCAGCCGTATACTTTAAGGCCTTTGCTTGTATACGATAACTTTTGCCGTATATTTACTATAGAAAGCGCAGGCCCTGCATTGTTTTGAAGAGAATGTAAGCACCCCCAGATTTCCTCCTGGGTGGTGAAAAACAGTTAAGAATAGATGTATATGTGACAGCTACTGAGATAGTATTGCACATATTATAGTGTTCTTACAAGTATTCTATTTTTATGAATATCTGTCAATTTTAGTTATTTATCTCTAATATAATACACTCATGAAAACGTTTTTTTTTTTCAAATTCTGGAAGTATATAAATTTTAGGAAAAAAAAATGTTGGAAATGAGAGCGACCGACAGTAGGCCCAGCTTTTGTGTACATTGTGTACACTTGTAGTCTCTGTCGGCCCAACGCTCTGTGCGTGTGCGCTTGGTTGACTTGGCGTGCTGCAGTTGTTTGTGTGCGTATTCACGCGGCAAGCCTTGTATACTGTAAGCGCCAGATTATACTCAGCTCTCGTCGAAGATAGACTCTCTTAATTTACATTGCCAAACTCTAGCATTCAAAGGCGCATATATCACCTTAAATACTAGTGTAAATCTTCTGATTAACTTTCTCCATACAGTGGACAAAACTCAGTTGTGCAGTGCAGTGCACTTAGTGCTTTGTTTAAGTTGCTCACTGCATTATCTGCAGACCAGCTCAAATAGTTAATCTCATCGAACTACCAGTGATTATCAACAGCAAGATTCAGTGAAACTCTTGTGTATTTCTACAGACAGTGATTGTGCATTTCTACAGACAATCGTTTTTCGTTAATCAATATTTTAATCAGTTATATTATATCAGTGCTTTCATTTTCACATTTATTGGTGTAACTTTCAAACTGTCTTGCGAGCTCAAGGCCAGTGTGTGTTTACATATTGTGTTATTCAACTTGAATATTTTTTTTCTACATTTTTCGCTTTTATATATTTTAATAGTTCATTGCTTTAAGACTATTGACATTGTTTCTTTTCTCCTGTATTATTTTGACCTTTACTATTTTTGTGAATATTAACTGTGATTTTTCTTGGCCTTTGAGTGACATTAAAAGTTGTTATTTTTTGCTGTTTAATTTTATTGTGTTTTATTGTGTCTTTCCAATCACCCTATCCGAGCCTAGTGTGTGCTAACGCATACGCCTCGAACATTTTTGGTCCTTCGAGCCGGATCGGGGTGATTGGGGAGTGATCCGGTAGCAGTGCGCGATGGGAGAGACAAGATAACTCATCCACATCTAGTAAGACTCAATCCAAACTGAGCAAAGCTGAGCACACTCATACAGGTCAAACTCAACTGCTGGGCAACACTCAACCGGGCAGCAACGCTCAGTAGAATCGGGTTGGGAGTTCGGCTCGGTCGCAGGATGATAGACCGGCTCCTCGAGTGTTGTCATGCACGTACCGCAACCAGAAACACTTTATTGCTCGCTGTCCGGCATTCGCGGCCCTCTCCATTGACCAACGATACCAGATCGTGGATGAAAAGCCTTTGTGCTTCAACTGTTTGGGCCGCCATGCTGCCGCTAAGTGTATGAACACGAAGAGGTGCCAAACCTGTGGTAAGGCTCACCATACCATGATTCACGGCGCTCGGTTGTTGCAACTGATCAGCAGGTTGGCGTCTTAGCTGACTCAACATCAAGAATAGGAAATCAGCGCAGTCATCAGACACACTGATCGTTGAAACTCCACATCTAGTAATACTCATCCCAGAGTCAACATCAAGTCAAACTCAACAAGGATCACATCGTCCAACCAAACATCTAGTCACTTATCTATCTTGTTGCCAACAACAGTAGCCCAGGTACGTGCTCCAGCTGCACATCATCATCTCAGGCTTCTGATCGATCAAGGTTCAGAATTATCATATATTTCGGAAGATGCTGTGAAGCGTCTGCAGCTGACGCGCACGAAGTCCAACATCTGTATCCTGGGCATTGGAGGCAACGTAGTCAGTAAAGCACTTGGTAAAGTAGAACTCAGATTGTTTTCATTATATTCTGACTCCAGCGTCGATGTGGTGCTCCACGTCTTGCCTAGAGTAACAGCTCCACTACCATCTTTTCAATGTAAGACAAGATCGTGGCTGCATACGGAGTTTCTGGAGTTAGCTGACCCCCATTTCTATCTGCCACGAGACATAGACTTGCTACTTGGCACTGACTACTATTCAGCTATAATCACCTCAGATCTGCTCAGAGGTTCTTTATCAGAACCTATCGCTCAACGTACACTGTTTTGTTGGATTTTATCGGGTTGCGTTAACCAGCCTGTTACAAAGATTCATCGTCACACTCACCATATTGTTTCAAAAATAGAAGATAAACTTCAGGAATTACTCATCAACTTCTGGATTCAAGAAGAGGTCCCTTCAAAGTCAAGCTCGCAGCTTACACCCGAGAAACAGGAGTGTCAGGAATACCTTGTGCGAACTCACTCTCGGGATAGTACTGGAAGATATGTGGTGAAACTTCCTCTGAAGCAATCTCCATCTCTGCTGGGCAACTCAGTCAACCGTGCTCATAAATGCTTCAACCGCACGGTGGCCAGGCTCAAAACAGACGACAAGTAAGACAAGCTCTACACAGATTTCATGAATGAATATTTGAGTCTTGGCCATATGCGACCGGTGCCTGCAGATGAGCTCAACATCAAGCCTCATTTTTATCTGCCTCATCACGGCGTATTGAAGGAAGATGGAGACAACGCCAAAATCAGGTTGGTTTTCAATGGATCAGCCCTAACTTCCTCTGGACATTCACTTAACAGCATAACTCACACGGGACCTAATCTACTGCCAAACATAACAGATATACTCTTCTGGTTACACACATTCAAATGGACTTTCTCTGCAGACATCTCCAAGATGTATCGTCAGATCAAGGTTCATCCAGACGATTGGGATCTTCAGCGAATCATCTTTCATAGAAAAACTCACGAGGAAGCTCACTTCCAGCTCACCACAGCGACCTACGGGACGAGGTCTGCTCCATTTCTGGCCACACGCTCACTGCTGCAGCTGGTGGATTCTCACCAACGGCAGATATGTGGACGACATTTTTGGTGGAGCGGAGACTCCAGATAAGTTGAACGAGCAGGCCCTCCAACTCAAGGAGCTGTGCATGGCGGGCGGATTGCCCCTGGCTAAGTGGCACTCAAACTCGCCAGGATTTAGTTACTCAAACTCCAGTGAAGAATCAGCACTCTCTCTTGATGACTGTGATGCTAAAGTACTCGGAATGGTTTGGAAACCACTTTCAGACAATCTCACCTTTCAGTGCACACTCAAGCCTCTTAGTCAAACTCCAACGAAGAGAAAAATTCTTTCAGAAATATCTCAAATCTTCGATCCTCTTGGAATAGTTGCTCCAGTGATTGTTGCAGCCAAACTCATTATTCAGGAATTGTGGCTACTCAAAATTACATGAGATACACCCATACTAAATGCTCTCGCTCAGAGGTGGCTACAAATACGAGGTGATCTAGCCAAACTCTCCTGAGTGACGGTTCCTAGATGGCTTGGAGCACATCCTTCTTCTGCAGTGGAACTCCATGGTTTTGCTGATGCGTCTCAGGATGCTATGGGTGCTGTGATTTACCTGGTGATAAAGTCAGACTTAGCCACGTCAAGCTCATTCGTCTGCTCCAAGACGAAAGCATCACCACTGAAGAGGATGTCAATACCAAGGTTGGAGTTGACAGCAGCTCTCATCCTGGCTAAACTCACTAAGTATGTCACCGACCAACTCACACTCAATATCAGCAACATTCACTTATGGACAGATTTGTCAGTCACACTCTATTGGATTTCTTCTCATCCAAATAAGTGGAAGGATTTCATCAGGAATCGAGTTGCAGCAATTCAGGATCTGGACCCTGCAGCACATTGGAGACATGTCCCTGGAAAGAAGAATCCTGCTGACTGTGCTTCTAGAGGGATTCTCATTTCAAAATTGATTGAGCATAGGCTCTGGTGGCATGGACCAGAGTGGCTTCTGCAGCCGAGTAACGTTGAGGTGGAGGATGAGACAGAGGCGCGTCAGGTGTCAGCATTGGTGTCTTCAGTCTTGGACTCGGAGTTCCTACTCAGGCTCACTCAGTCCAGCTCCACATTGCACAAACTCTATCGTATCACAGCCACCGTCTTACTTGCTTGTGCCAAGTTCAAAGCCTTACTCACACACCAGGAATCATTCGTAGCTGTCACTGCAGAACTCATCACTCAAGCTAAGCTCTTACTCATCAGATTAACTCAACAGGAATGTTTCAAGGAGGAAATCAAGATGCTCAAATCAGGTTCTCTCCCAAAGAGCCATGTTTTCCACCGGTTGATGGCATATACTGATGATGCTGGCATACTGCGTGTGGGAGGCAGACTCCTGAATGCCAAGCTCAGACCTGATGCAAAACATCCTGCCCTACTTCCTCGTCAAGCTCAATTCACCAGTTTGGTTATCGATCAGGCTCATCGGCAAACTCTACACGGAGGAACTCAGGTCACTCTTAGTAAAACTCGTCAAGAGTTTTAGATAATCGGTGGAAGGGCCCCCATCCAATCCAGAATCCTCTACTGTGTCAAATGTGCCAGGTACCGAGCACAAAGAGCACAACAACTCATGGGACAGTTACCCGAGGCCAGGGTGACTCCCTCCAGACTGTTTGCTCACACAGGTATCGACTACGCAGGTCCAATACATCTCAAATCTTGGCGCGGCAGAGGGTCGAAGACATACAAGGGTTGGATATGTGTGTTCGTGCGTTTTTCGACCTCTGCTGTGCATGTCGAAGCAGTGACAGATTACTCTACCGAAGGATTCTTGTCAGCGTATTGGCAATTTGTCTCACGTCAGGGACGTCCATTTAAGTTTTATTCTGATTGTGGGACGAACTTCGTTGGTGCAGACAGGGCTCTTCAACAGTTATACTCAGAAGCAATCAGTCAAAATTCTCATCTATCAGCCATGCTTGCCTAAGATGGAACGTCATGGCACTTCAACCCTCCAGCTGCTCCTCACATGGGAGGAAAATGGGAGGCAGTAGTGAAGTCGATGAAACACCATCTCCATTGGACTATGGGAGAGACTCTTTACACGCTTGAAGAGATCACGACGTTGCTCACTCAAATCGAAGCAATACTGAACTCTAGACCACTAGAACCACTTACCAAAGATCCAGAGGATTTAGACACGCTCACTCCAGGACACTTCTTAGTCAGATCGGCGCTAAACTCACCACCAGAACCGTGCTTGTTGGATTTACCTCCAGCAAGGCTCACTCGCTGGCAGCTGATCCAAGCTCAAAAACAAAGGTTTTGGAAGCAGTGGTCTACACAGTACTTGCTTAGATTAAACTCAATCTCTAAGTGGCATACTCCATCTCATGACATCAAGACAGGCTCATTGGTGCTTATAACTAGTGAGCCTCTACTACCATGAAAGTGGCCGCTGGCCAGAGTCGTCGACGTCCACCCAGGCAAGGATGGCCTGGTTAGAGTGGTGACTCTCAAGACCTCAGTGGGCGCACTCAGGAGACCAATTCACAAGTTGATGCCACTGCCGATCTGCGGCTGTTGTCAGCCGTTGACTGACGGCGGGCGGAATGTTGGAAATGAGAGCGACCGACAGTAGGCCCGGCTTTTGTGTACATTGTGTACACTTGTAGTCTCTGTTGGCCCAACGCTCTGTGCGTGTGCGCTTGGTTGACTTGGCGCGCTGCAGGTGTGTGTGAGCGTATTCACGCGGCAAGCCTTGTATACTGTAAGCGCCAGATTATACTCAGCTCTCGTCGAAGATAGACTCTCTTAATTTACGTTGGCAAACTCTAGCATTCAAAGGTGCATATATCACCTTAAATGCTAGTGTAAATCTTCTGATTAACTTTCTCAATACAGTGGACAAAACTCAGTTGTGCAGTGCAGTGCACTTAGTGCTTTGTTTAAGTTGCTCACTGCATAATCTGCAGACCAGTTTCAATAGTTAATCTCATTGAACTACCAGTGATTATCAACAGCAAGATTCAGTAAAACTCTTGTGTATTTCTACAGACAGTGATTGTGCATTTCTACAGACAATCGTTTTTCGTTAATCAATATTTCAATCAGTTATATTATTTTAGTGCTTTCTTTTTCACATTTATTCGTGTAACTTTCAAACTGTCTTGCGAGCTCAAGGCCAGTGTGTGTTTACATATTGTATTATTCAAGTAGACTCTTTTCTTTCAACATTTTTCGCTTTTATATATTTCAATAGTTCATTGCTTTAAGACTATAGACATTATTTCTTTTCTCCTGTATTATTTTAACCTTTATTATTTTTGTGAATATTAACTGTGATTTTTCCTTGCCTTTGAGTGACATTAAAACTTGTTATTTTATGCTGTTTAATTTTATTGTGTTTTATTTTGTCTTCCCAATTACCCCATCCGAGCCTTGTGTGTGCTAACGCATACACCTCGAACAAAAAAAGTCACAAAGGGCCTGATTTACACAATATGGTGACCAAGAAAGCATGACTGTATTACTTCTAACCAAATATTTGGGCAAAACGAAACGATATGAAAGCAGGAATACTGTCAATAATACTCTTCAAATAGTCACTCAAAAAAATCAAAGTATAATGCACTTTACTGAAGGCCCTCTAAATCTTTTAGAAAAAATTGCTAATCCAGGAGATCTTCCTTGGCTGGTTAAACTGATAAAAGATCTCTGATAATAGCTTTGTGAAGTGAGTCAGTAAGAACTCTCAATATATTGGAACTTGAGCATTTTCTAGTACTTTGTTGAACTCTGAGGCTCCAGAGGAAAGTGCTGCATCTGTTAAATTTTAAGACTTTTCAAAGTGACCATTCTTGGTCTGTGCCTTATTGTTGAGATCTGTCAGAATCTCTGAGCTTATTTCTGGAGCTTTGAGAATAAAGCTGCCTGTTACTAGTATAGTCATAGCAATTTGTCCTTTATCTCATTATCCACCAGTCTCGAACTGGTCCAACCTAATAAGCTACAGATTAGGTGTCTTATAAGAACGAGATAATGATCTTTTTTTCTTTGATCAACGCTAATGTATCAGATGATTCTATCATAAAACTGGCTCCCCTCTACATCCACGTCACTAAATTACATGTTTTGATCCAAAACGAAAAAATTTTTTCCAGGAATCAGGCACAGTTATCAACTTTGTTTCGACAATCGTTTGTGTTTTAATAATTAGTTACTACACAAGATTAATTATCATTTAATTCGCGCTTACTCTGCGCAGTCAAAGGTAATTCTGCTTTGGCAATCTATAGATATTAGTAATACAAAGCTTTAATACACATACTCCTTTACCGGTTTATATTTGAATATATTCCATTTCAAGGCTGTCGGGGGTCAGGATACAATCTAAAACATTGGAAACTATATCATTTGTAATAAAAAATTAGTATTTCAATCAGTACTTAGACTTCAGATATATTTCTATGATAATTACAACATATGTTGATTATCAGAAGATACAGAGGAGGAAGCAGAGATAAAAATTATTGTGAGAACTGAATTATCCGTCTTGCCATATTGAGGGTCCTGTTGATGTACTTTGTTTCTTGTCATTCCTTGTATTTACTGATGCAGTTGTTGAGTAGATTTTCTTTGCTACTTTAAGTTTTGGAGAGTTGGCTCTGTTTATCCTTTGTGCTTTTTTTGCTCTCTAAAAATTTCAATTATGGCTTCCATTTAAGACTTCTCATCATATACCATAATTACATTAACTCTACAGCATTTTTGCCAGACTAGACAGCCAAAGTTGATACTCTTGTGATCACCCTTGCAATTGGCTTACTTGGGGGCATCGATGAACCATGAGCACTCATGTTCAGTTTTGCCGCACATTATGCATAGAGTGTTTTGGGTGTCATTTTTGGGTTCGGGTCGCACTTGGACGCGACGTGGCAAAATATATAATTTTTAAAGCATTGGAATGGCTTGCTGAAGTAAGATTTAGACTTTATGTATGCACCATTGTATAAAATTTCAATGGGCAAGCTACACCCTTCAAAAGTCAGAAGTATCGTTTCACTGGGGATCTGCTTCTCTTGTGGAGTGGCATTGGGTTATCTGTTCCTCCTATTAAACTTTTTGTACAACTTTTATATCAAATTCTACTTCTTCCGTTATTTTTTGTTCTGTATATTCAACAGGATAAACTTGATCATACCCTTTCTTCATTGTTTAGATTTTGGTGTAAACACTTGTACGTTTAAATGTGAGATTATAGGGTTTTCTTGAATGACTAAGTTAGCCTCAGCTGGGGACTTGCAGATATCTTTAACATTCTGTAATCCTTTCTGTTCAATCACTCTTGATTTGAGATTATTTTGAATCAGGATGCCTCCTACTCTAATTTTATTGATCTTTTGTCCATCATTATTTATTTTGGTGATCCAAACTGACCAATTTTGTGTTTGTTGTGTTTTAAATACCAATCTTATTTAAGCTTTTCTGTGGATTCACTAAGCGTGGTTTGTTCCAGGTCCTTGTGAGACTATATTTGTTTGCAGTGGCAGTTTTTACTTATTTTTCTTTTTCCGGAGGTGAACCGTAATTGCATTCATTCTATCGATATTTGCATTTTCTCTTGTTCTTTGTTTCAATTACTGTCATCGAGAAGCCAGTGCCACTGCTAGAATTAACCATGGCATCAAATCAAAGCCACTAATGCGTGAGCGCCTGACATTTTGATACAACGTTCCTTCACTTGCTTGTATCACACTTACTTAACACTGTCAATAAGCAATATATTGTTTCATTTATCGGGCAAAGAAGGCTTGATTAGATAAGAACTTGATCCGGATTTTTAATTCACTCCATCGCATTCTTAATCGTAAATAGTTATTTTGAGATAACTAGAGTGCATTAGACAAATCCAATGGAGTATTTTCCACAATAGTGGGATTAAATAAGTAAATAAGAATTCCAAAATTATTTTATTAGTAGGACCATAAACTTTCGCACTGCACTACATTATTTGTTATACTACTAAGCTAATTACGCAATAAAAATAAGTGTCACATTTTTTAACCATTTCTTAAATTATAGGTTGTCTCTGTGCTTTTGTTTTAATGAGCCGAAAAACTTGTAAGGCAAACTGTGCTGTATGGGCCCTTATTACAAAAACTTTTCCATCATTGAAGCCATTACAAATCATAAGTGATTATAAAAAAAGCATTAATGAAGTCAATGAAGACTTATTTTGGCAAGGATTCTGTGAAAGGATGTTACTTCCATTATTCGCAGGTATCATTCTTGACTTTATAAATATCATTCGCGAAAGCTGTACAAGTATTTGAAACATCGAGTGTATGTGATTAAATTGACAGTATAATCCGTATTTATGTCTAATAAAATTCGGTATAAGACAAAATCCACAAAAAATATCCCATTTTTGTCTATTATTTTAGTAAAAAAAATTTTTTGATGCACACTGGACTCATTTTACTTGTAATAAAACGTAGTTTGAGGAGAGAATTTTGACTACGAGTTGCGCTGAGGATGACA